TCAATAAGGGAAACAAATTGAACAAATATAACACACAAAACACATTTTTTTAACGTTTTTGTCAATGCATAAAAAAATACAGACAATACTTAGTGGATACAGTTCATCACTTCATCTTTGTTCTCTGTGACCGTTTATCACTTGTAATCACACACATTACATAATATGCAAAATATAACAATGTATTTCATCATCAACATAATAAAATCAGTAATCACACGTTTTTATTTTTTATTTTTAACACAAACAAACATACGTACGTAGTAAAACAAGACCACTTTTGTTAATCTTCATCAAACTCTCTTTACCATCTTACTGCAATAATGGTGTCTTAGCCTACACAAAATATAGAAACAGCTAGCAACGTTAGTTTTATAATAATAATAATGAAGGAGAAAAAAAAATCTAATTTTAATTATAGGAGCAATAAATTCTTTTTATAAATTAAAATTAATCTTTCCACGAAATAAAGCGAGATTCAATGAATCAAATCTAGATATAGTAATTTTTTTTTAACCTTGTACAAAAATAAAATTAAAAACAATTTAACATACGTCTTGCTGGATCTCAATTTGAGAGGAATTTACAAAGCAAACTCAAAAAATCAATAGCCTTTATTTATCAAGAAACTTATATATGTGATGAAATTGATTTTTAGTTACCAACAAATGGGGTTGTGTAAGCTTGAAAAAACTATTTGAAGTAGCCAAAATAACTAAAAGTAATTGTATAATTAAATGTAATAGTTTTGATAATATATAAATTTTTTATAGATGATTTTAAATATTGAATGATATTATTTGAATATTAAATATTTTTAAATAATGATTTTTATGATATTAAAAATATTTTTTCTACTTCATTCATAACATTTCTCACTTTTCTATTTTCTTTTTACTACTTTTATATTTTCTTTAACTATTAAATAAGAAAATTATCTGTGAAAAAATTATAGCAAAATAAATTTTTAATAAAAATATCTGTGAATTTTTAATAAATTTAAAGAAATAACCATATTTTTGTCAAAATTATAGCAAACTTTAGAGAAAGATTTTGAAAAGAAAAAAAAAACACAAAATTCATATAAAAAGGTATGCATATAAAACCCACAAGAAAAATCTGCATGCATGAAAAATCCATAGATTCAAGTCATCTTATATAAACTTTCTTATAATGAAATAGTTAATGTATAAAAGGGTTATTAAATGAATTATAATGGTTGGTTTTATAAAAATTAAAAACTTAAAAGAGCATTATTGACAAAAAAAATCTATAAATAAAATAGAATGACTAAAGATAACGTTCTTCATATTCTTTTAATGAATAAATATTTGTAAATTTATAATTAAACATTTCAATGCTCCTTCAATGACTTAAAATTAAAATTAATTGATAAATAAATTTATTTGTAAAGTTCCTTGTCATCTCAATGACTTAACGTTATTAATAATTCTAAAAATATTTAAAAACTTGTGAAAATTTTGTTAATATTAAATAAATAATTTTTAATAATTATACATATAATTTATTTTCCACAAATTAATTTGGAGGGAGACTGGGGGAACATGCTCCGTTACTACACTAAGCTTTTCCTGGTAGTGTAACTTAACCAAAGTAAAAGTAATCTTAAATAATCCTATGACAGATTATTAATTTAATTTTTTAACGATTTATTTGGATAAATTTTTTAAAAAATAAGAAGAAAAAATGAAATAATTTTTTTATAAAATTAAAATTCACTTATTTATTGACTAATTTTATAAAAATTTTCTCCTATTAGCTTATTATCTACTTAAGAATCTTATTTATCTTTACTTTGTGTATAAGGTAATTTTAATTTATGAAAAAATTATTTTATTTTAATTTTAATTTTTCTCTCTTAAAAGTAGTTCTTAAAATCTACCTAAATATATCCTAAATATTTTTTTTACAATTCTTTTAGATATTTTAAATGATTGTATTACAATTTTTTTAATTGCACCGTTGACATTCATTTATGATAGGTTGTTTAACTTCATTATTTAGGTATATAAGTTAGAAAATCCCGAAACAAATACAATGCTCTTTCCTTTCAAAAGATTTTCTCATTAACACGGGATATTAATCAGGTTAAATTATATTTTTAGTTTAATTTAATTTTTATTTTTATTTTGGTCTAGGAATGATAAATATACCCGTACCGCGGGTAATACCTGAACTCGTCCCGACTTTGACGGGGAATACCCGATTTGACCGGGTACGGGTACGGGTACGGGTACGGGTACGGGTAAAACCCGATATATTAAATCGGGTACGAGTACGGGTATGTACTTACCCGCCCCGTACCCGTCCCGTTCCCATTTTTAATTAAATACCTACTTTTAATTTAATTATATTAAAGAATTTTAATATTTTTTATGTGTGATTATTTATTATAATATGAGATAGAGAAATAATCTAATTATAATTATAATATAATTAAAAAAGTAATTTAAAAATATTATATTTAAATAAAAAAATAAAAAAAAAATAAAAAATTTGACGAGTACGGGTACAGGTACGGGTATACCCGTACCCGACGGGGACGGGGATGAGAATGAAAACTACATACCTAACGGGTACAGGTACGGGAACGAGTATGGATTTGACTTGCGGGGACGGGGATGAGTATCATGAAACCCATACCCGCCCCGCCCCGTTGCCATCCCTATTTTGGTCTTTTAATTTTGAATAACTTAATTTGATTATTTATCTTTTAAATTTGAGATGATTTAGTTTTTTCAAAATAACAATCATTTTTAATTTTAAGATATAATTTTAAATATTTTTTTACTGATTTAAGACTTAAAATTTATTTTGATTGATTTATTTATATAAAATATTGAATGCAACTTATGTGTGAATCAAAAAGAATCATAAATATATTGAAAATTGTTTTAAAAAAAGTTAATAAAGCAACTGAAAAATTAAAAAAATTCAAATTATTTTTTAATTATTTATGAGATATGTTTTATTTACAATTTTTACTATGCTTATATCTCTTTTTGGATTTGAATATTAATTGAATTTCACATTTTTTTATATAAGTAAATTTATAAGACAATTTTTAAGTTTTAAATTAGTTATAAAATTCCCTAAAAAAATTAGTTATAAAATAATTCAAAATTATGTTATAAAATTAAAAATAATTATTATTTTAAAAAAACTAAATTGATCCAAAATTTAAAAAGTAAAAAAGTAAAATGAACATTTTTAAAAAGTAAAAACTAAAAATAAATTTTAAAATAAGATAAAAAAGTATAATTTAGCCATATATTTATAAACGAATAATAATTTTTAATAAAATGATTGAATACATGCCCGACCTTTAATTTAATATGCCTTCCATTTCCGCATAGTAGTGTTTAGATCATTTTTGTTACTGACACGTGTTTTATAACAAGAATAATAATTATGTTGAATAAAAAAATTGAACACATACCTTTGCCAGAAATGCCTCTCGCATGGTAAAGTTTAGATCATTTTTCATTGTGATAGGATCTTCCAACCACTCAAGTTGAACTTGAGACAATTTGCCTGCTTTTACGGTACCTGCACAAACAGTTTCCATCTTGGTGCAATCGATTACCTTCAATTGGTCTAAGGATGGGAGACTTAAACTCCCTCTGTAGAAGCTTTTGAGCTTTGATAACCCTTCTAGATTTAAAGAGTTGAGCTTTGGAAATATTATCTTATCCTCATTTGATTCATTCCCCTCCTTATTACACACTACTATCTCTTCAATTGAATCACACTTTTTTATCTCCATTGTTTTGAGTTGAGCCAAACTTTTGGCTGTTGAGGATGTAAACAAATATTCCAACGTGCTGCAAGAGGATACCTTCAATTGGTCTAAGGATGGGAAACTTAAACTCCCTCTGTAGAAGCTTTTGAGCATTGATAACCCTTTTAGATTTAAAGAGTTGAGTTTCGGAAATATTATCTCATCCTCATTTGATTCATCCCCCTCCTTATTACACACTACTATCTCTTCAATTGAATCACACTTTTTTATGTTCATTGTTTCGAGCTGAGCCAAACTTTTGGCTGATGAGGATGTGAACAAATGTAACACTCCATTGCATTGATTTAGTTCCACATGTGTCAACTTGGAGAAAGACACTGTGCCTGGTACCAAGCTTGTTGAACTAAAACAACTTATTACTTCAAAGCTTTCTATATTTTTGACAAAGGACTCAATCCAAGAGCTCTCTAACCCAATGGGAACAATCTCTTCAAGGGACTTCAAGCGTAATTCTTTCAGCTCTGCAAGGCAGAAAATCTCCTTGAAGGAACCATCATGCACCTCAAGCTTCTCTACATTGGGCATGTGTTGTACAAATTCATCAGACTTGATATGAAATAAAAGAGCAAGAACTTTTAACTTGGGTAAAAGGTTTCCCAGAAATTCTCCTTGCAAAATCATCTTTAGTTCATTAGCACCCAGTGTTAGATGCTCTAAATCGGGTGTAAGCTGTGAAGAGAAACCAATAATCAACCAAAAGCAGATTAGGACAGTTATAGATCCAGCTTTTTTATATAAAATTCAAATAAATGAACTTCCATGCTAAGAGATGTCTGATAATTATATATAAATTAACTATATATTTCAATGAAAAAGTGCAGAAAAGTCAATTTAAAAGAAAAAAAATGACTTAAAAACCAAAAAAATAAAATCAAACGAACAAGGCTCACTATTAATAAGGTGAAAGGGATTTTGATACTATTTGTACCTAAATAAATTTATTTTGTTTTGAATTTTAAGATGGAAAAAGTGATAAATGAGATGGATGGGAAAGTTGTAGTAGTTCCTAAAGAAGAAAAGAATGAAAAATCCTGTAGATGGTTGATTGGAGGGAGTTTTTTTTTTTTAATTTTTTATCAGTGTTGGTTGGAGTTATTTATAAAGATTTGTGAAGCATTAAACATTGAAATGCTGTGAAAGAATAACAGGAGAATGTTCATTGAAATAATATGAGAATGTTCATTGAAATAATATGATATATGATAAAATAGAGTGGTGTGTGTAAGAATCTATGTAAGATTGAATGTATTAATAAGAATAAAGCTCAAACCTCAGATGTTGTTGTTGCATCACGAGTGCAACATGTACCATTATACTTGAACTTAGGCAAATCACATAGAGTCAATGTCCTCACACTTAGAATTCCATGAGGATCTCCATTCCAAATATTCTCCAGATTTGGTAGCTCTGATAAAGTCAATATCTCGAGGGGGAAAATAGGTGGTCCCATAGTTGTCATTTCTGTGCTCACATCAAATATGGTTTTCACGTAATCACACTTTCGAACTTCCAATGTTTCCAATTCAGTAAACAAAGGAAGTAAATGGGAGGGCAGTACTGCATCTGATAAAAATTGGCAACCGACCACAGTCAAAGAGACCAACTCACTGAAGCACTTGTTTGGGATCGACACTGTGGGAAGCCATATCTCTTCTAATTCTGGCTCTTCTCCAAGGTCAAGATGTGAAATCTGCACACGCAAAAGAATACATAAAAATAAAAATAAGATAAAAGATTTAAATATGTTCATAGTTAATGTATAATGAGTTATCTTTTTTATTTTTGTTATCCCTTTAATTTTTTGTTTTCTTTTTAATTTGTTAATATTGTTTTTAATTTTTGTAAAATGATGAAAATTTGATTTTATCCGTATAAAATATATTTATTTAATTTTTAATTCTCTAAAATCTAATGTTATTATTTTTAATCCTTAAAGATTATTTTAAAATAAATAAATAAATTTTATAAATTATTTTAGAGATGTTACACATTGAAATGATATCACTAATAATAATTATAAATAATACTTAAAATGATCATTCAAATTTTTAGTAAATAAATAAATAATTAAAAATAATCATAAAATAATAAAGATAAAAAAAATTTAAATTTTAGAAAAAAAATTAAGGATTAAAATTAAAATTTGTTTATTTTATTTAAATTAAAAATATATTTAAATTAATATAAAATTAGTCATTTTCGATTAATTAGAATTGAGATTATAATTTTACTTAAGCTTCGTAACATCCATAACTTTTAATTCCATTAAAAGTTTGTAATTTGGCTGGATTTAGAGCATCTCAGTTCTAGTATAGGTCATCACATATTTACGAGCAATTCAATTATTACTTTGCATTGTCAGTTATCTTAGTGAAATTATTTTGAAATAATTTCATAAAACCATAATCACATTTATTTTCTTTGGTATCTCAATTATCAATATTTAGGTTCGCCCATGTTATGAGAATAATGAGAATTCTTGACATTCGAATGAGGCGTAATTAATAAGGACAAGAATACAATCTTAAATTTAATTTGATTTTTTGTTTTTTTATGAAAGTGAAGAACTATATATAGCCCTTCTCTACTGTCTGATAGCCGTTTTCAATTAATCGGTCTGGAACATTCATTCTAGATTTACCACAAGTATACTCCCAGAGATACTTTTTTTTTTTAAAGGATATATTATAAGCCTTTGTTGCACTTTATCAAGAGATTTCTAGGAATTTGTATCAATCACATTTCAGAAATAAAATAAATCTTTCGAGGTAACATACTCATGAATCAAAGCTAGATTTAGTAATTTTCTTAACCTTGTATAAAAATAAAATTAAAAATAATTTAACATACTTGTTGGTCACATTTTGTGAGTTATTTACAAGGCAAACTTATAAATTTAATAATCTTTTCTTATTAAAAAGTTATATATATGATGCTGTATAATGCACTTAATTTCCATCCAAAAGATTTTTATTACTGACACGTGTTATAACAAGAATAATAATTATGTTGCATAAAAAAATTGAATACATACCTTTGCCAGAAATGCCTCTCGCATGGTAGAGTTTAGATCATTTTTCAATGGAATAGACTTCCAGTCAATTTCAACTTGAGACAATTTGTCTACTTTTACGGTACCTGCAAAAAAAGTTTTCATCTTGTTGCAAGAGATTACCTCTAATTGGTCTAAGGCCGGGAGACTTAAATTCCCTTTGTAGAACCTTTTGAGATTTGGTAACAAAAATAAATTCAAAGAGTTGAGTTGTGGAAATATTATCTCATCTTCATTTGATTCATCCCCCTCTTTGTTACATACTACTATCTCTTCAATTGAATCACATATTCTTATCTCCATTGTTTTGAGTTGAGCCAAACTTTTGACTGTGGAGGATATGAACAAACACTCCAGACTATTGCAATGATATATTTTCAAAACTGTTAGATTTCGGAGGATGGGCTGAATCCAAAAGTTCTCTAACCCAATATCATCCTCATTATGACTTTCAAAGCACAAAATGTGGTCAAAGGAACTGTCCCTCACCTCAAGCCTCTCTATATTGGGAACATGTTGTAGAAACTCACATGGAAATACATCTGTCTCACACCTCTTAAAACTTAGAGCTTTTAACTTGTGTAAGAAAAGGTTTCCCTCAAATACTCCATGCCAAATCATCTTCCATTCGTCTCCAACTACTTCCAGATCTTCTAAGTTGCGAAGCTACCAAGAGAAAACCAATAACCAAACAAAACAACGTTAGGACAGTTAAACAAAAATATGAATTAATAACCAACTTTTCATGCTAAAAGTTTAAATATTTCAATCAAATAGGTGTAAATGATCAAATTAAAAACAAAAAAGAAACAGTTTACTTAAAAACAAAATATAGGAAAAAATGAACCAAGCTACATATTAATAAGATTTTGAGATATACAGTTTGTGCCAAAAGAAATCTATTTCGAGTTTAAAATTTCAAGATGAAAAAAGTAAGTATTAAAAGAGAATATTGGAAATGTTTTATGTAGTGGTTCCTATGGAGAAGAAAATGATAAAATAAATCCCTTTAATTAGAGGATAGTAGATTGTTAATAAACATTTGAAAAGAACTATTAGTATTGATTTAGTAATGAAATTGAAGTAATATGTATAACATCTTAGATTCTAATCTTATTGATCTCAAAATAAATTTGAAGGATAAAAAAAATTTAAAAATTTGAGAACCATTAACACATTATACATTATATATGATACTGTAAAATGGCATGTGTAAGAATCCATGTAGTTGAACCGTAAAATAAAAAATCCGTGTATTTGAGCCTAAACAAATTTATTTCGATTCAAATTTTAAGATGGAAAAAATAAGTGTTACAAGAGAACAATGAGAATGTTTTATGTAGGGGTTCCTATGGCGAAGAAAATGATAAATAAAAAAAAAACCTTTAAACAGTAATAGATTGTTGATAAAGATTTGAAAAGAACTATTAGACTTGGTACAAATTGAAATAATATATATAAGATATAAATTTGAAGGATAATTTTTTAAAAATGATTTAAGACCCATTAATACATTATATACATGATTAGGGATGGCAACGAATGGGTTGGGTATATAATTCTTGTCTTCATCTTTGTCTCCGTCAGATATCGGGTATATCTCGTACTTATACTTGTAAAAAAATTATATATATATATATATTAATTTAATTTTTGTATTACAAATCTACTTATTTAGATATGTTATTAATAATGTAATTTGTAAATTATTTTTTATTATATTATAATTATAATTAGATTGTTTCTCTATCTCATATTTTAATCAAAAGATTTCTTAATAATTAAATAACTATAAATATTTCACATTATAATAATAATTACATATAATAAAATATTAAATTTTTTTAACATAATTAAATCGGGGATGAGCACGAGTACGGGACGGATATGTGTATATCTATACCCGTACTTGATTTAATATATCGGATTTACCCGCACTTATACCTGTACCAGATCAAATCAGGTATTCCCCGTCAAAGTCAAGACAGGTTCAAGTATTACCAATAAATATGAATTTATTTGTCATTCCTATACATGATACATGTGACGCATTCAATGGTATGCATAAAAATCCTTCTAATTGAGTTGTAAAATAAAAAAATAAAAAAATTTTATAATATGAATAGTGTCCCCACAAATTTAATTATCCTCATTCTCTTTTTTTTTTAATTAGAAATTTCAATTACTTATTTTTATCGTTGGTTATAGTTGTATTTCATACACTATCTCCATAATTAATCAAAAATATCCATCAATTAGTTATTAAACTATATTTCTTTTATCATTATATGTAAATTTAAATTTTATAATTGCATATCTCTTTCAATATATACCAACTTTTATTTTTATTACTAAATTTAAATTTATTTTTAAAAATTACAAATTGTTAAAAATAAGTTGTGCATTAAAAAAATATTATTTAATTTTTAATTATATAAAAATGTTATTATGCATAATAAACAGGAAAAAAAAGTTTATTTATTCACGTAAGTATTGTCCCAAACGCTTAAAATGATGGGTAATACAATATCTATACTTGTAAGTATCCACACTTTTAAAATATTAAAATAATTTTAATTATATAGAAAATAGTTTCATTTAATTTATTTTTAATATAAATATATATGACATATTTATTTATTTTAGTAAAAATATATGTTACCAAATTAATTTTTTATATAAATATATGTTTTGTCCTCTTTCTCCATTTTATTTGATCTATCTTCTTTTATAATTTGAATTCTAATATTAAACAAAATCATCTCTTAATAAAAATAAAATAATAACATAAAAATTCTCATTATTATTATTACTATTACAATTAATAATAAAAAAGAAAAAGAATTTATGCATGTAACTATATATTTAGTATAACGTAGCAAGTTGTTTCAGAAGGTCCAAAAGTCTAGTATGGGTGATTCAGCAGCCCAGAACGGGTCATTCCCAAACTGGAATGGGCCGTTCCAAACTATTGAATTGACCTATAAAACATAGTTGAGAACGAACCATTCTAGAGGGAGAACGGGCCGTTCCAAACCCCAAAACGGACCATTCTGGAGGGAGTACGGGCCATTCTGGATAGAGAACGAACCGTTCTGGATGAGTCCCAAAACGGGCCATTTTGATTTCAGAATGAGCTGTTCTGATTTTAGAACTGGCCGTTCTACATGTGATTTTTTTACGTGATGAAGGGGTACAGAATGGGCCGTTCCGGATTCGAAATAGGCCATTCTGGCCACTCCGGAACTTCTATAAATAGAGGTTGTGTGGTTGAGGAGAAAATGAAGTTTTTAGAGAGAAGTTTTAGAGAGAAGAACTCTGGGTCTGTGAGCTCTTTTCTCTCTCAAATTTGTCTATATGATTCATTTTGTCCTCTAGATCACTAATGCCTTCTGTCTTTTCTTGAAATTCAGATTAGGAAGCTTACTTTGGGAGGATTGAAGTTCTGGGTTAAGCTTCGGAAGAGAATTCTACTTCTTCTCAGTTATTGGCTATTTTGAGTCAATCTTTAGGTGAGAGAAGCTAGAATGCTTATTGTTTAGGTTGCATGTGAGTTTAGAAACTCAATTGATGCATGAATGTTGAGAATCCATAAATGGATTGAAGAAAATATCATTTTTGGGGTTTTGAGAAAAAGGAGGATTTTGATGCATAGGTTGGATGCATGTGAGATCTAAGTTTATTTAAGTTGTATGAAGCCTATGCATTGTGTTTTTGTGTTTGCATGTGGCTGGATTTGTTGTTTTGGACGAGAGTTTTTGAATTCTTTGACTAGGATTTAGGCCGGGCGCAGGTTGAGCGCGCCGAGCATGGAAGAGCTTAGAGCTCTAGGGTTGATGTTAGGCCAAGTGCGAGCTGACTGCGCAGAGCATGAATATGTTTATAAATAATAATTGATGCTTATGCATGTTTAAAGTTGAAATTTTAGATCATGTATGTATGATATATGATGTATGCTGAAGTGTGATTCATATGTATGCTTTGTGATGATACGTATGAATGTTTAAATATGATATGACATGTGTATATGTTCATATGAGTATGTTTATTGATCATAATGGTGGGTAGACCATGTATGATGTATGATGCATTATTGCATGTGATGTCTTATGACATGTGTATGATTGTTGATCATGATCATGATGGTGGGCAGACCATGTATGATGTATGATGTATAATTGCATGTGATGCGTTATGGCATGAGTCTAGCCTAAGACTTGATGAGGGGAAAAATATTTTCGAACTGAAAGAGCTCACATAGAGTCTCTTGAGAGTGGTGCTTGGATAGGCCACTGATATATGAGAGTGGTGCTTAGGTAAGCCACTGGATTTGGGAGAGTGGTGCTCAGATAGGTCACTGGGTTGGGTGAGTCTCCTCTAAGTCCTTAGCTATTGTTGGAGCGGGGTATGAGGTCGAGGGTTATTCCCTTAACAAAATACTCGGAAAGGTGCGTGGATCCTTGCGGATAGTCGGTGGGCAAACTCCACAATTGACTTGGTTATGCATGCCAAGGTCGTGGTAAGCCCGTACCCAGCTGTGTTATACCTGACGATAAATCTGGACTTCCAATTGTGTAAGTGACATCATCCGAGTAAATCCGAGTGAGGATTATATCCTGTTTAGCTGTGACCGAGCAGACACATTAGGCGTGAAAACAGTTGGAGTGGTTTCGGTGGGATGGGATGTCACTTATACAGCTCTGTTGTTAGGGAGATCTCCTAGGTGTATGAGTGATGACGCATTAGATGATTGATATGCTTTAGCTCAACCTTGAATCTTCTTCAATGCTTTATAATCACTTTGGCATCATCAAAACTTTTATGCATAATTTATTTTATGTATGAAGCGTAATTGCATGTGATGCCTTATGGAATGTGTCTAGCCTAGGACCTGAGGAGAGGGAAATATTTTCGAACTGGAAGAGCTCACATAGAGTCTCTTGAGAGTGGTGCTTGGATAGGCCACTGATATATGAGTGGTGCTCAGGTAGGCCACTAGTTTGGGTGAGCCTCCTCAAAGTCCTTAGCTAGTGTTGGAGCGGGGTATGAGGTCGAGGGTTATTCCCTTAACCAAGTACTCGGGAAGGTGCGTGGATTCTTGTAGATAGTCAGTGGGCGAACTCCACAATTGACTTGGTAATGCATGTCAAGGTCGTGGTAAGTCTGTACCTAGCTGTGTTATACCTGACAATGGATCTAGACTTCCAATTGTGTAAGTGATATCATCCGAGTAAACCTGAGTGAGGATTATATCCTGTTTAGCTGACCGAGCAGGCGCATTGGGTGTAAAAATGGTTGGGGTAGTTTTGGTGGGATGGGATGTCACTTATACAGCTTTATTGTTAGGGAGATCTCCTACGTGTATGCGTGATGACGCATTAGATGATTGATATGCATTGATATCTGTCATGAGATACATTTATTGCATGATTATTAATATGATGAAGTGTGGTGTTTGACTTCATGATTGATGGATTGTATTTTATGCATGAGTAATATTGGATAGAGTGTACGGTGTGACTTTATGAACATGATTGATAGTTGGATGATGTATAGTATAGATTTTATTCTGTACTTGTATGATTAGTTTTGAACTCTAGCTTACCCTTCTGTTTTCATGTGGTGGAACTGCGATGATCATACTTGGTATGAGAGCATGTCAGGGCTAGCTTGGAGTTGAGGTATCCGTTGCGAGACGAAAAGTTTTGATCCTCGTGTTAGAGTTACCATTTTGGATAACGAATATTTGTCTGTGCTTGACTGGCACTAGAGAATATTATTTTTGGGATGAATGTACATATATGGAGTTCTATTTTATAACTAGAAACTTAGTTATTTTCATTTTTATTTGTACATGTATGTATGAGTTATCCAGCTTAGTATTTCTCTTAGTTTCACTAGCAATAGTGCGATTCCACTAAGTGTAGAGACCATGGCAGGTCGTTACATTTAGTACTTTTTTTTTCATGAAATAAATATAATATATTTTAATTCATATAATTATACACTAATAATTAAATAGATATTCATTTAATAATGAGATAGGAATAAAAGACGGAAAATGACATATCTATTCACATAACAGTGGGAGCCAATTACCCCTACTAAATATATATATATATATATATATATATACATATATATTTTGAAGGGATATATATTATTTTAAAATATAAAAAATAATTTATAATATAAATATTATCCCACAAATTTAATTAACTTCATTCTATTCTCTTTTTTAATTAAAATTTTCAAATACTTATTTTATCATTAGTTATAGTTGTATTTCATACATTATCTCCATAATTAGTCAAAAATATCTATCCATAAGATATATCTTTAGTACTTAAGTAATTAATTATGCTGTTCTCAATAAAATTTAAATTTATAAATAAATATATTTTAAACATACATTAAATGAGAGGGTGTCGTCCTAAGTCTTGGTAGAAAGAGGATATTTGTAGTATGTGCAAACAAGGGTGTAAAAAAAGGTAATGGGAGATAATCATATTTTTAAAATCTTCTAATTAATATTTATTTTTAAAAAAGGCACTGATCCACGTAAGTAATATGGTAATTCTGAAAGATTCCAATCCTGGGAGATTAATTAGTTTTTAAAAATTGTAATAATATATTTTCATGAATAACAAAAAGTGTATATAAGTTAATGATGGGATCCGTACCTTTTCCTCAAATATCCTGTGCGCAGTAGAATTAAGATCAGAACACTGTTGGGATGACTCATATTTTGCAGAAAACCACTTTGTTGTTGTTGAATGATCTATTATGTTGTTTGGACTGAAAGTTTTCATCCACCAGCAATCGATTACGTGCACTTGCTCCAGGCATGGAAAACGTAAAGTATAATTCCCAGGGTAAAACCATCTAAACCAACGTAATTCTTTAAGATACAAAACCTGGAGCTGCTTAAATATTATTTGTTCATCCTCATCTGATTCATCTCCCTCTTTGGACACTATCTCTATCAGTGATTTACACTTTTTTATCTTCAGCCTTTTGAGTCCACCCAAACTTTTGGCTGTCGAGAATGTAAACAAATAGATAAGTCCATTGCAACTACTTACTTCCAAATATGTCAGATTGGTGAAAGATACTGTGCATGATGATGGTACCAAGTTTGACAATTTATAGCAACATTTTACTTGTAACGTTTGGAGATTTTCAAGAAAGGGTTGTAGCCAAGAGTGCTCTGAACCAATGGACTTAAGCTCATTCATATCAGCATTCGGTCTTTCAGCGGAGAACATCTCATCAAACTCACACTCGTTAAATGCAAGCTTTTGTATACTGTTCGGAAACATGTGAAGGAATCTGTATAGAGGAGCACTATCTAACAATTCTTCAAAGTCTTTTAGTTTATCAAACTGCAATTGCCCTCCTACAGACTCTCGATCCCATGTTACCTGGATGTCTCCAATACTGAGTGACACTTTCTTCAAGCTGGGGGTTTGGATAACCTATATACGAAGAGAAACAAATAACCATATTACATACGCAAACAAAATACAATTGGATCAGATTATTAATTATTAATTTATCTTAAATTCATTATTTTTAATCATTTATTCATATAATATATATATATATATATATATATATATATATAAATATATGTATATGAATTGTTTTTATATTTTCTTTGGATGTTTTATCCTTCCATTTTTTTCTAAATTATTTAGTGGTTCAATTTTCATTCTATATGCTCTACTTTCCTTTGTAATAGTATTCATTATACATTTAAATAACTTAGTTCTAATAAATATGTAGCATATTTTTTTTTTGTCTTTTTTCCTTAAATTTTTGAATTTCTGTATTGTAAATTAGTTTTCAATTTTGCTATTTGATTAATGATTTTCTTTGTTTTATTGTTTTTATACATTATTGTAATCTTTTAATTTTAATCTCTATAATTTTTTTCCTACTTTTAATTGTATAAATATAATCTAAATTGTTTTATTTTGTAGTTGAATTGACTGTTTTTAGATTTTTTTTTTCTGATACCAGCATTTGTATTTGTAGGTAAAATATTCAATTTTATTTACAATTTCTAATATTAAAATTATATTTTTATCAATTTTTTCCATCGTTAGTTCCAATATTTTATTCATATTTTCAAATTTTTTTCTGTAATTATCATTATTTACATATACGTTAGGTTTCCAAATATTTTGTCTTTTGTCTCAACTTTTATTTATTTGTTCACACATGAGGATATACCAAAACTCCTCCATCTTTAAGGTTAAGGTAGTAACTTGTATATATCTTTTTCTCCTTATTTTCTTCTAGTAGTTTTTACACATCTTTTCTTCTTAACTGACCAAGCCGGGATTTAAAAAAACTAATTTGGTTAAAGTTTGATGAAATTACACAACTTTTCTTCGTATTTGAAAACCAGACTCGATCCTACATATAATAAGTATAACTGAATTAACTTATAAGAATTACCTTTTCAATTTCAATAAGGACTTGCTCCTCTGCATCATCTTCTTCACATTTGAGTTTCACCGGCTCACATTGAAATGCATCTAATTCTTGTAGCACAGGCCATTCAAGCTTGTGTAATCCGGGATAGAAGTATTTGAGCTTTGGCAATTCCGTTAGAGTCAATGAGGTGAGAGAACTAAACCCAAACATTTTTGTTGCTCCTTCTGCTTCTCCACCCTTTGAAAATATTTCTACCAACTCCCTACACTCTCTTACCTCAAGCTCTTCAAGTCTGCAGGTAACATCTTTTTTAGCCACCCCTGCTGGAAATAAACTTTTCAGACTATCACAACCTGTAACCGACATAACCCGTAGCACTTGAAGGTCAATCATTCCCTCAGGATCCTTGTCCCATACATGCTCTAGTTTTGGTAGACCAGATAAACTCAATCTTTTCAAACGGATTATTCCCAAAGCTTTTTTCTCATCACTTATATTAAATATGACCCGTGCTTCACTGCAACTCCGTACTGCTAACTCTTCCAAATTCTCAAAGCAAGGAAGTAAGTGAGATGGAATTACGTGCTCTAGACTATTACATCCGGATGCTTGTATGTGAAAAGAGTGAATGTTTTAGCAGATACATAAATTTGGGTCAAAGAATATCCTAAGAACCCAGACAGGCCATTTTGTTACATGACTTGGTAACAAATAACATCATTAACAAAAGGGAAAATAAGAGGGGTTTGAAGGGTCAGAATAAATTATGTCAAAGAAAGATGTGAAGTAATTAATAAAAAGTACCTATTCAAAGTCAATGACTTTGTGGAGCGCATTTGAGTTGCGTAAACCAGCTAAGGTCAACTGCATCCAAAGACAAAACAAGAAGTTAGATCTTCAAGACAAATTATTTAAACAAAAATAATATAATATAGTGAATCTAGATTAATTATAAAATGTTTAGTTGCAAATCAGTAATATTGACAAGTATAGCCTAAGTTTTATTTTATTTTTAAGATTTAGGAAACCATGGCAAGCATATTTTTAAATTTTAAATAATCAATCGAAATTATTAAAAAAAAATCAATTTAATTGCATATATAAAGTGATTAATGGTTGACCACTCTTTCTAAAATTTATTTAATTTATTTTCATCGTCATGAAAAAGTTTCTTGTTGCACACGAAAAAGTGCTACACGTTATCCTAAAATAGTGTTGTATGTAGGATATTAGAATGTCTCTCTCTGTATTTCTACTTGAGATAAAAATAAGGGATATAATTAGTAATTATTATATATAATATATTCTTTAAATTAGCGATTATTCTTAACTTCTTTTTGAATCTTATTTAAAATAAATTTTCATGAAATTTATAGACAAACATTTTTTTTCCAAATTAAATAGTTTTTTTTTATTATTTTTCTCTTTAGTTTTGATGGAGTTTTATGAGAGAACTAATTTTTAGAACTTGACATCACAGATTTTCGTTCAAGTGAATTATTTGGTCACTTTAGTAAACAAAACACTTCAGTTGAATATAAAGAACTCACTTGTGTGAACTATCGGGTCATTTAAGCCATAGACAATAAAATACTTTTTTGTGAAATTATGATGTTCACTTGAGTAATGACATCTTACTTAAGAAATTAATAGACTATTTCAAGCCTAAGGTCAAGAATATAAAGACATATGAAAATGTCCAATAAAAAGGTTATGATCTTTATTAATGATGAGACTCTTTGAAAAAATTGAATATAAAGCAACTCTATTACCTCCATATCATCTTCTCTATCTTTTATCAATTTTATTTTATCATGTGAGTAACTAAACTCATTACTGTTGAAAATTGATATAGAACAATCTTTATTCCAGATACCTTTTCTAAATTAATTATTCAAGTTTTATTTCAATTATTTAATTTTTTAAAATTGGATATTGTATTTGTTTTGCATCAATAATGAAAATAAACAGAACAAATATAACATAAAACACACCTTTTCTTTTTATGTTTTTGTCAATGCATAAAACAATATGCAGTCAATACTTGGTGGACACATCATTACTTCATCTTTGTTCTTCATGAATGTTAATAATCACTTATATATCATCACACACATTACGTAATATATAACACAATTGAACCTCACACTTTCTTTCTAAAACACAAAACAAACGTATGTAGTAAAACACGGCCACTTTGTTCATCTTCATCAAGCCCTCTTTGTCATCGATATCTTCTTACTGCAACAATGGAGTCTTAGCCTACGCAAATTATGTAAAAACAACAATGTTAGTTTTATAATAATAATAATGAAGAAGAAAAAACTTCTGATTTTAGTTATAGAAACAGTAAAATATTTTTTTCAAAATAAAAATTAATCTTTCCATGAAACAAAGCTAGATTCAGAAGTTTTTTTTAACCATGTATAAAAATAAAAATAAAAATAACTTAACATACTTGCTCTCAACTTGGGAGTTATTCATAAAGCAATCTCATAAATTCAATGACCTTTCCTAATTAAAAAAGTTACATATGAAATGATTGCTACAAAACAGGATTGTGTAACTTAAACTAAGTAAAAATGAGGTCAAACAATTTCGTAGTAGATTATTGGTATAATTCTCTTATTATAAAATTTAAGATTGTTGATACAATTTTCCTAATTGCACTAATCATTTATATTAGGCTTGCTTAACTCTATTTTTTTTTTCAAGTGAATTAGATACCCCTTAACAATGCTTCCACCGTCGAAAAGATTGACACACACTGATATGGTGTTTTGTAACAACAATAATAATTTTCAATACAAAAATTGAACACAATCCCCTTAACCGAAATGCCTTCCAGTTCCGCATGGTAGAGTTGAGATCAATTTCCAAAGGGATAACATGGGTTCTCTTGAAATTTATTAACTCGTAACATCTTGTCTATTTTTCCAATACCTGTACATAAAGTTTCCATTAAATTCCCCCTGTAGAAGCATACGAGGTTTGGTAAATATTCAAGAATCAAACAATTGAGGAGCGGAAATATTATCTCTTCTTCGTTTGATTCATCCCCTTCCTTATACACTATCTCTTTAATGAATTCACACCTTGTTACCATCATTATTTTGGGTTGGATAAACTTTTGGCTGCGGAGGATGTGAATAAGTTTACCGATCCATGGCATTTAAATACAGTCAAATACACCTGTTCGGAGAAACATATGGAGGATGGTGCCAAGTTTTTTAAATGGGAACAACAATTTACTTTCAAGTGTTCTAAATTTTTGAGAAAGGACTCAATCCATAAGTTTTCCAAGTCAAAGGAAACGAGCTCTGGAAGGGACTCCAAGAGTAATTCTCAGTTTCAGTGATCCAATATCATCCACATTAGGACCTTGAAAGCAGAAAATCTCCTTTTGAAAGAACTTCAACCCACCCAAAGCTCCTCTATATTAGGCACTTGTAGAAATCTATATGGAAATACATTAGACTCAACATGAAAGATCAACAAACTAATAGATTTTAACTTGTGTGAGAAATTTCCTTGTAGTTCTCCACGCCAAATCATCTTCAGTTCTGTTTCACCAATTCCCAACCTCTCTAAGTTGGGTGTAAGCTACAAAGAGACCAATAACCAAACCAAATCAGGTCAGGGAGGTTATAGATCCATCTCTTCCATAAAAATTGAAGTGATGAAACTTCTCATGCTAAAAGATGTATGATAATTAGTGACAAAAACTCCATCTCTTCTATATAATTTAAATAATTTATGAATATTGTTCACACCACAGAAAGCAAATATCAATGCAGTATAAGTAGCAGCATTCCCTTTCATGCCCTTCCCTTTCATCTCGTTGAAAAACTCAACTGCTCTATGGACTCTCCCATGTTTACACATACCATCAACCAATGCATTGAGAGTGACAATATTTGGCTGCAGCTTCCTGACCCTTTCGTCCATTCGCCATACGTCAAAATCAATATCAAATGGTCAATTAGTATTAACTTCTTCCTTCGCTTTTCATTAATTAACAATGCTAACTTTTGTTCCACAAAATAATTTTTGTGCTGAAACAACAAAGTATAACAAAAACATATCAACTCAAAAGTATAAAAACTATCAACCACAACGAAGAAATATAGAAACTATTAATAAATTCCATTAGTAATTTATATTCTTCATCAACAATCTAATACTCATACGACAACAACTAGCATGGAGTTTTAAATATAGGTTGCACTGCAACTGTAGTCATAGTCTTGTTGCAGTTTGATGCAAATCAATAATAGCAGTGCAATGCGACAGTGGCAGCTGTTGCAATCAAGAGGTAGCCAGCTGTATTATGCGGTGCAATTTGTAATATAAATCCTAAGCCAAATATATGTCCCATATAAATAAACAAATAATAGTCTTTAGTTCACCTTTGACATTGCATAGATCATGTCAATGGGTGAAAAAAAAAAGAGTCACCATGCATTATACATTAGACAATCTTATTGGTCAAGCTTGAGTAAAATTAGTACTAATAACTTTTACTGGCATACCCAATAAACCCCCATCCCCCAAATGAATCCGTATGCTCATTTCTAGAATCTCAGGCTGAAACCAAGCAAAATTCATTAAAATTCCAAAAAGGGCAAACCACGTATTGACATAAAATTTTTAGAAAGGAACCTACAAACTTAACTAGCTTTAATCAAGGAAGTATGAAACTGCACAAATTGCTTAGCAAACCTATCACAATTCACAAGGGATATTTTAAGAAAGAATTAACTTCTGTATGGTAATTTGATTATCTTAACAAATTTGGATACTCAAGCTAAAGCAATGTCAAACTGTTAAAGGTAGTTGGAGTTGATGCCTGAAAGAAGATTCATGTCCAGAGATTACAACAGGCAAAACACACACAACTAAGTTAACCAATGCCTATATGCACTCTCAAAGAGCCTTGCACACGTGGTGATTATAAAAATGGCCTTCCCACTATGTATTTTCTCATCAATGAACATTTACAATCAAGATCTTTAAAAATCAGAATAACTATGACACGAGGCAAGATTATGATAACTTTGTTTTTCAGACAAAGCCAATAGGAAACCTTCTAATAAAGGTTTGCATCTAAGTAGGAATGCTATTCATAGCCTTTTCACAGAGTGTAATTAACAACACTAGAGTATGCGTTATAACATTGTATGGACCACAAAATCATTTGATCAGTCACAACATAATGATTCCATCATGTAGCCTGTTTTAAAAAAAAACAATAACATCCGTTTCATAGTGTCAATTCATCGTTATTTCATTATTTATTGAATAAGCTCTCAAATTAGAAGACATGGGATTTACTTCATGTCAACATTTATAAGCTTTTCTTTCAACAGGTTGTAGTAACCAAACAAGATCACAATAACCATTCTTGGTGACGTGAATTGTGAATTGTGAATCAGAAGTGTCATCTCATTAAACATGTGATAAGAGTCATGAATCATGATATCTTTACCGAGTCAGAAGTGTCATCTCATTAAACATATATTGCCCAAATCTTGCATTTCATTTTGTGATGATGATATATCTGTTAAGCTAGGACCTGAATGTTACAGGTATGGTAATATATCTCATTAGGTATAGGATAGTTCTTACGGTAAAGACTAGACTCAGGTATATTGACCTGGTGATTGTGATTTTTGTGAACTAGAATCTATTGTGATCTTGTTTGGTTACTACAACCTGTTGAAAGAAAAGCTTATAAATGTTGACATGAAGTAAATCCCATGTCTTCTAATTTGAGAGCTTATTCAATAAATAATGAAATAACGATGAATTGACACTATGAAACGGATGTTATTGTTTTTTTTTAAAACAGGCTACATGATGGAATCATTATGTTGTGACTGATCAAATGATTTTGTGGTCCATACAATGTTATAACGCATACTCTAGTGTTGTTAATTACACTCTGTGAAAAGGCTATGAATAGCATTCCTACTTAGATGCAAACCTTTATTAGAAGGTTTCCTATTGGCTTTGTCTGAAAAACAAAGTTATCATAATCTTGCCTCGTGTCATAGTTATTCTGATTTTTAAAGATCTTGATTGTAAATGTTCATTGATGAGAAAATACATAGTGGGAAGGCCATTTTTATAATCACCACGTGTGCAAGGCTCTTTGAGAGTGCATATAGGCATTGGTTAACTTAGTTGTGTGTGTTTTGCCTGTTGTAATCTCTGGACATGAATCTTCTTTCAGGCATCAACTCCAACTACCTTTAACAGTTTGACATTGCTTTAGCTTGAGTATCCAAATTTGTTAAGATAATCAAATTACCATACAGAAGTTAATTCTTTCTTAAAATATCCCTTGTGAATTGTGATAGGTTTGCTAAGCAATTTGTGCAGTTTCATACTTCCTTGATTAAAGCTAGTTAAGTTTGTAGGTTCCTTTCTAAAAATTTTATGTCAATACGTGGTTTGCCCTTTTTGGAATTTTAATGAATTTTGCTTGGTTTCAGCCTGAGATTCTAGAAATGAGCATACGGATTCATTTGGGGGATGGGGGTTTATTGGGTATGCCAGTAAAAGTTATTAGTACTAATTTTACTCAAGCTTGACCAATAAGATTGTCTAATGTATAATGCATGGTGACTCTTTTTTTTTTCACCCATTGACATGATCTATGCAATGTCAAAGGTGAACTAAAGACTATTATTTGTTTATTTATATGGGACATATATTTGGCTTAGGATTTATATTACAAATTGCACCGCATAATACAGCTGGCTACCTCTTGATTGCAACAGCTGCCACTGTCGCATTGCACTGCTATTATTGATTTGCATCAAACTGCAACAAGACTATGACTACAGTTGCAGTGCAACCTATATTTAAAACTCCATGCTAGTTGTTGTCGTATGAGTATTAGATTGTTGATGAAGAATATAAATTACTAATGGAATTTATTAATAGTTTCTATATTTCTTCGTTGTGGTTGATAGTTTTTATACTTTTGAGTTGATATGTTTTTGTTATACTTTGTTGTTTCAGCACAAAAATTATTTTGTGGAACAAAAGTTAGCATTGTTAATTAATGAAAAGCGAAGGAAGAAGTTAATACTAATTGACCATTTGATATTGATTTTGACGTATGGCGAATGGACGAAAGGGTCAGGAAGCTGCAGCCAAATATTGTCACTCTCAATGCATTGGTTGATGGTATGTGTAAACATGGGAGAGTCCATAGAGCAGTTGAGTTTTTCAACGAGATGAAAGGGAAGGGCATGAAAGGGAATGCTGCTACTTATACTGCATTGATATTTGCTTTCTGTGGTGTGAACAATATTCATAAATTATTTAAATTATATAGAAGAGATGGAGTTTTTGTCACTAATTATCATACATCTTTTAGCATGAGAAGTTTCATCACTTCAATTTTTATGGAAGAGATGGATCTATAACCTCCCTGACCTGATTTGGTTTGGTTATTGGTCTCTTTGTAGCTTACACCCAACTTAGAGAGGTTGGGAATTGGTGAAACAGAACTGAAGATGATTTGGCGTGGAGAACTACAAGGAAATTTCTCACACAAGTTAAAATCTATTAGTTTGTTGATCTTTCATGTTGAGTCTAATGTATTTCCATATAGATTTCTACAAGTGCCTAATATAGAGGAGCTTTGGGTGGGTTGAAGTTCTTTCAAAAGGAGATTTTCTGCTTTCAAGGTCCTAATGTGGATGATATTGGATCACTGAAACTGAGAATTACTCTTGGAGTCCCTTCCAGAGCTCGTTTCCTTTGACTTGGAAAACTTATGGATTGAGTCCTTTCTCAAAAATTTAGAACACTTGAAAGTAAATTGTTGTTCCCATTTAAAAAACTTGGCACCATCCTCCATATGTTTCTCCGAACAGGTGTATTTGACTGTATTTAAATGCCATGGATCGGTAAACTTATTCACATCCTCCGCAGCCAAAAGTTTATCCAACCCAAAATAATGATGGTAACAAGGTGTGAATTCATTAAAGAGATAGTGTATAAGGAAGGGGATGAATCAAACGAAGAAGAGATAATATTTCCGCTCCTCAATTGTTTGATTCTTGAATATTTACCAAACCTCGTATGCTTCTACAGGGGGAATTTAATGGAAACTTTATGTACAGGTATTGGAAAAATAGACAAGATGTTACGAGTTAATAAATTTCAAGAGAACCCATGTTATCCCTTTGGAAATTGATCTCAACTCTACCATGCGGAACTGGAAGGCATTTCGGTTAAGGGGATTGTGTTCAATTTTTGTATTGAAAATTATTATTGTTGTTACAAAACACCATATCAGTGTGTGTCAATCTTTTCGACGGTGGAAGCATTGTTAAGGGGTATCTAATTCACTTGAAAAAAAAAATAGAGTTAAGCAAGCCTAATATAAATGATTAGTGCAATTAGGAAAATTGTATCAACAATCTTAAATTTTATAATAAGAGAATTATACCAATAATCTACTACGAAATTGTTTGACCTCATTTTTACTTAGTTTAAGTTACACAATCCTGTTTTGTAGCAATCATTTCATATGTAACTTTTTTAATTAGGAAAGGTCATTGAATTTATGAGATTGCTTTATGAATAACTCCCAAGTTGAGAGCAAGTATGTTAAGTTATTTTTATTTTTATTTTTATACATGGTTAAAAAAAACTTCTGAATCTAGCTTTGTTTCATGGAAAGATTAATTTTTATTTTGAAAAAAATATTTTACTGTTTCTATAACTAAAATCAGAAGTTTTTTCTTCTTCATTATTATTATTATAAAACTAACATTGTTGTTTTTACATAATTTGCGTAGGCTAAGACTCCATTGTTGCAGTAAGAAGATATCGATGACAAAGAGGGCTTGATGAAGATGAACAAAGTGGCCGTGTTTTACTACATACGTTTGTTTTGTGTTTTAGAAAGAAAGTGTGAGGTTCAATTGTGTTATATATTACGTAATGTGTGTGATGATATATAAGTGATTATTAACATTCATGAAGAACAAAGATGAAGTAATGATGTGTCCACCAAGTATTGACTGCATATTGTTTTATGCATTGACAAAAACATCTAAATTTGCCACACATAAATTTGCCACACCATATTCAACACTAGCAATTGTTTCAAATTGCCAAAGTTGTTTTGTAACTCCAAATGATTGCAATGCCATAGTTGCTTTATAAATTCAGGATAACTTGAAAGATTCAAATACTCTGAATATCTGAAAGAAACCTGTAAAATCAGATAAAAAATAAAATATAAATTATTATCCCACAGTGGATATTAAAGATGAGAATATATGATTATTAAGACTCATATATTCAACCCAAGTACATCATTTATAAATCAAATAATAATGTTTAGAATTGGATTCAAGCTAAATAAATTGAAATTTACATCATTTTGATTAAAAAGAAAAGTTTTAAGGTGATGGGAAGTTCTCTTTAGGACAAGACGGGCTACATGAAGCAATTAAATTATTGTATTATGTTACATTTTATAAATGAGGTTTTTCAAACAACATGAATGATAAATGTAAGTACCTTATCATTGAAAACTTTTTGTATGGTGCCATTCAAGTCGCCTTCCCACTGCCATTTCGCTTCTTCTTCTCCTTCAACAGCAAGTATATTTTTTTGTAACTTTGGTGCACTTGCCGGATTCTTCGAGAATGTTTCCATCTTGCAACATTCTCTCACAATCAATATTTTCAATAAAGGGAATTTGAATGTATAATTCTTGTTGCTGCAAAAACTTGTGAGCTGCTTTAGAGTCACAAGTTCTATAGTAATCAAATTGCTAAATACAATTTCGATGTTTTCTTTGTCATTTCCCTCATTGCTTATTATTTCCTTTAGGTGATCACAAGCGATTACGTTCATGGTCTTAAGTTGAACCAAGCTCTTGGCCGTTGAGGATGCCATTAAATTCCTTAATCCTTTACATGACTTTACTTCCAAATATGTCAAGTAAGTCAATGATACCGAGGGAGGAGCTAAAATGCTCAAATTGTGGCACCTTTGTAAGGTCAAAAGTTCAAGTCTCCGTAGAAACGGGAGTCGTTCAAGTCCTATATCATTTATACCTGACCTTGACAAAACCAATTCCTTCAACTGTAATACGGTTCCTAATCTTTCCTGTGGTGCAATGTTTGCACTTGGCACTGACTCCCAAAGCGATAACTTTTCTAGATTTGGCATTCTGTACAGAAACTGGTAGAGAGAGTCAAAACTAACTGGGCTGGAGATAATAAGCTCTTTTAAACTGTGCATTATGTACATTTTGCTGCTCAATATTAACCACTTCTCTGCTTGCTTAAAGTGAATATCCAAATACTCCAAGTTGGGAAAAACCTAGAGAAAAATGAAATAAAAGTGAATACTACGTAGAAGGAGGTTACTTTATATATACAAGCTTATCCCCCATCTTTCCATTTATTTGATTTTATTAGGCTTTTTGTTTGGATTGCAACAGTTTAAAAACCAAATTGTGATTTTTGCAAACACCTCTATTATGTTAAGACACACAACTAATAGGTAAGAAAATAAAAAAAAGGCAAAAATAACACAAAAGACTGTGTACTGTGTACTGCATTAATGCACTAGACACCATGTGATTTCCGCATATCTTTATGTGTGGCACCGGTGGTAATATACGATATAACAGATAATTTTTTAGTTGGATTATAATAAATTGAATAAAAACAATTTATTAATTTAGATTTATTAAAAATTTAATCTATTCAATTTATTTTAAAAAATTATTTAATTTATTCATTAATATTTTTTATGGAAAGATATTTGATTCATCTATAAAAAAAATTCTTGAATATTCTTTTTTTTTTTTCTATCTATTTTTCCTTACTCTCCTGTCTCTATTTTTTTGTGCTATCTACGCAATTAATGTTTTAAACTTTACAATATTTTGTTATAATATTGGCCACAAAATTTATATCAGTTGCAAATTCAACATGCTCCTTTTGTGGCAGTTGTTTCTCTTCTATTGAAAGTGAGACATCATATTCATTTGGAAAGAAAAATTAAAAGATTAGTTATTAAAATGTGTCAATTTTTACTTTTCTTTATCAGAATCCAAATCTTATTATTATTATTATTATTATTATTATTATTATTATTTTATATATTTTTCATTCACATATAACTTTGAATGTTCGTTGAAATCTTTGGAGTACTTTTAAATGTTATAAATTTATAATCTTTTAAATTTTTATGACAGAAATTCATTAAAATCTAAACTACAAAATTATGATTATAAAAATCTTTTAAAAAATACTTAAAAGTTATTATATTTTTATATAATCTTTAAAATTCTTAAATATTTATTTTTATACTAAAATAACCTTTTAAAATCTTAATCTAAATATGCACAAAAAGGTATAAAAAAATGAAGAAAAAAAAACTCAATCCAATACATCTCCCTTATTATAACTCAATAGATTTTGAAAGTAAAGTATATAGATCATTAACCATCCATAAAATTAAATGGATAAAATAAATATAATTCATAAATATTATATTGTGTAATAAATGGATTGAAAGAGTTTTCTTGTGGATAAATGATATATAAGTAACAAGATAATCCAAGCAAGTTGAGAAACCATTCCACTATCCCTCTCACCCTTTTACATTCTTTATGCCTTTATGCATTGTCACTCACCTATTGAGTCTATATAAACTTATATATAAGGAAAGATCCATTTATTTCAATAGTAAGTTTATTTAAATTTATTTTCTTAATAACTCATGTTACATATCATATTTTAACAATCCAATCGTTGAATTAAAAATTTTTAAAAATTATTTGATATTTTATTTTATTAATTCAAATTATTGTATCAAACATTTTTATGATTATCTAAATTGATGAAACGGAATATCAAATAATTTTAATATTTTTTTAAAATTTTGTAAACTTAATTTATATATTAAAAACTTTTAATTTTAACACTTTGACAATTAAACTTTGATGTAAAACATAATTTATTGAGTAAAGTAAGTTTAAATAAACTTACTCTTACAATAAGTGAATCACTTTCCATATATATATATATATATATATATATTATTAAGACATTTATAAGAATATATTTCTTTTCTTGGACATGTAAGGTCTGAAAATTAAAAATATTAGTTATAATAGCATATGCAAATGTCAAAAGACAAATATTGGGAAAAGTTTAAAATGTTTTCAATGAAAATGAAGAAAAAGGTAGAAACTTACCTTGAAGAAAGAAGATAAAAAACACACACAACAACAACAAAAGAAATATACAGTAAAGATATGATACAAGTAAAATGAAAAATAAAATAAAATTGAAAGATGCTTTAAAGTTTCAAAGTTTCTAAGGCATAAATATAAAGATAAAATGATCAAATACAATGAAATAATAATTCTTTTTAATAAAAATAATTTAATTATCTTTTTGTTCATTATTTTTAAACATTACCTTTTAATCTTTCTGGTTAAAATATTTCATTTTAGATTTTATAATATTATTTTGAAATTTTTTAGTTCACGTCGTCTATTGTTATAAAAATTAAAAGATAAAACTTATAAAATCTTAAGAACTAAAAAGAATAAAAAACATTGTATATATATAATAATTAAAACGAAATTTTTTTATTATAAAGACTAATAAATAAATTTTACAAAACTATAATAAAAAAAGGTAATTAAACTTAAAATATTATAAAAACATTCAAAATTCAAAATCCAATTATGTGCGCTAAGTGACTGAACACAAAATTTGATCTAGCAATAACAAATTAATAAAGAATAAGGCTGTCAAAATACAATGTTGGTGGTCCAAAAAGAGTGCTCTTATTCGTTCATTCCAAAATGGGAGGATTGAGAAATTGGAATGAAAATAAAAAGAAATGAAAAAAAAATTATGACAGATGATGAAAAACAAAAAGAAAAAAAGATATAAGTAGAATGCAAAAGAAAATGAATAGATGGTGAGTATATTTCTCCCTAGCTCCTAACATCTTGAAAATAAATAAATAAATGAGTGCACTAAAGCTGAAAAAAACTAAAATAAAATAAACTGAATGAGAATTGAATGAGGGGAGCTTTAAACCTTTTACTCCATAGTTTTTTTTTTTTTTTTGTCAAGATAAAGAAATACTCTAAGAAATATTTTGAACCTTATAATTTATCAAATATTACTTTAAGTTCTAAATAAAATTGTTGTAAGCCACAAAGTGAATTAAGTAGTTCTCTTTCAATGACACAATATTCCTTACTTACCTCTTTAGGTGTTGAGAAAACTTGTACTGCTTCTTCATTTGTTTTGTCACTTCTCTCTATTTGGAATATTTCAAGCTTCTCACAATCCACCACTCTCAACTTATTCATTTTTGGACACTTTATACCATGTCTCCCCTTATAGAAATGCTCCATATTTTGTAGGTAATATAATTCCATGCTGATCAATTCAGGGAATACTAATGGTTCATAGCTTGCTTCTAATCCATCTTCACAAGCAATAATTTCCACCATTCTCCAACAAAATCTTACTGACATGTATTCAATATTTTGAACATCTTTGGCCATAGAAGCCGGAAAGACATTCCTCAATTTATCACAAGAAGATACATCTATATTCCGCAGTTTTCTGAAGTTGAGAATTCCTCTTGGATCCGTGCTCCACACTTGCTTCAACTTTGGGAGACAGTGAAGAAAAATTCTTTGTAAATTTGTGTCTATCCCACCAGATGCATCTCTTTGTTGAGAATCTTTGATTTCAAAAATCACTTTCACTAACTGACAATTAACAACCTTCAACTTTTCCAAACTTGCATACCATCCTTCCATGTGACTCAGAAAAATCTTGTCTAATTTTTCACATTCTTCAATGTGCAAAGAAATGAGACTACAAAAGGAATCAACACTCATTTCAGTCTGCCATATGTCTGTTAACATTTTCATTTTGCTGACATGGATTTCCTCCAACTTTGGAAAGACAAAGACCTGCACTTTGATGCAAACAATTCATTAATAAGTGATGAAGCTTAACAAAAATGTCTAAGGAAGAGCATGGCCAAGAACTACACACATAACATTAACTCAACTGCAAAAATTTAATTATTTATTCCAATACACACCTTGTGTGGACCATTTCCTTCGGTGCAAAAAACCTTCTCCATCGAATGACACTCACTTACATAGAGGTTTTTTAGCATGCTCAAACCGCTAGCCACAGACAATGAACACAAATATATCAACTTATTACAGTCTTTCACAACTAATTCTTTTAAGTTTTGAAAGCAAAAACTTGATAGGGACTGGTCACACCATATCGTATGGACGTGGATTGAGGATAAATTCAAACTCTCTAAATTTGAAATTTTAACCTGCAAGCACATACACAATTAATATATCTATGAAAAAAAAACTCATTAATTAAAAGTAAAAGAAAAGGGTGAATTGAAATAACATACCCGTTCACCAAAAAGAGGATCTGTGATGTCTCCCATTACTCTACTATAAAAACTAGTAAATGATGGTGGTAATGATTGTAGAGTCAGAGAGCGCAACTTAAGAAACTCAACCTTATCAGAGTTTACATGAATTTCCACAATCTCCTTTATAGAATCACAGTTAGAAACATCAATTGTTTCTAAACTAGAAAGAAGTTTAACCATGTAAACTGAGATGACATTCTTCAAACGGGCACACATCTTGACTTTAATAGTCTTCAATTTGGTAAATGAGACATCTTTAACTGGACTACAACATATCATCTCTATGTTCAACAAATTGTAGAGACATAAAGATTCCAATTTGGGAAAAACATCTAGAGGACGAGCCAAATCCTTTGCCTTGAAGATATGTTGGATGCTAAAATTATTTGTGATAGATAAGTGTTTCAGATATGGAAATCCATCCAAATTCAACTCATAAATAACATTTTTGACACCATTTATCTCTCCCAATAACAAATTTTGAACTGTTTTAAACAACAATTTTATCCCATTTAGAGAGTGAATATTGTTAGTATCGTCCTTCAGCTGCAATGCTAAAAATCTAGACGGTTCGTACTTATTAGGCATCTTGAAATCTCCATCTGAAAGCACCTTACTGTCCCCGATCACAAACTTGTAATCATTTAAGTTGTCAAAGAACAAGTCCTTGGGAAAAACTGCAACACTTGGGAGGCTCAAGTCCACCACTTTCAGTTGATGCAAGTGTTTTAGTCTAGAAAGCAATGAAATTTGCCCATTTGTCTCTTTTACCACAACAGAGTTGATCAAGCACTTTCTTATATATAACTCTTCTAAAGAAGTCAACCTTGATATAGAATTAGGTAGGTAAATCCTTTGTATGCAACAATTGCTGATGTCTAGAGATTGTAGTTTATTTAAACACCACAACTTCGCTGGAAAATTTTCAATTTGAGACCCAGAAAAACTGAGAATTCTTAATTTTTTCAACGTTCCTATGATTGACAAATTGCCATCTAAATAGCATCGCTCCAAACAAAGCATTCTGAGATTTGATAGACCTTCAATTAAATCTTGCAAGTTTGACAAATGAAAACCATTCAATATTAACACTTTGAGTTTTTTCATTCCATTAAAAATACCGTTAGGTATTCTCAAAGCTGAATCATCATTATCAATTTGAAAAAAATTAAGTTGAGGACAATTTACATCATCAGGAAGTTTATCAAGGCTATATATCACTGTTGCATATATAAATCGAAGTGCACTTGTCAAGTTCAAGGAAATCATCAAGTTTACCATTTCTCATAGTAAATATATTTTTCTCCTTGTGGGCTATTGACAAAGCAGCGTCTCGAACCATATCATGCATATTGAAATGATTAATAGAACTTCCATCCAACACCAAACTTAAGCCTTTTAGCTTTTCTAGTGATGTATGAATTATTTCACGAGCTTTCATAAGCGAGGAGACCCCTTCAAGTATACCCAAACCATAGGAATACTTCACCAAGTCCATAATTAGTGGTTGATGACCTATTTGAGCACAAAGTAACAAAATGGACTTGAGTTCCTCACTTTCTAGATGGTCATAACTCATCTTTAGAGAAATTTCCATAGGCTTTTGCACTCCCACCAATTCTTTAAGTTTTTCTAGCCTAGCTTCCCACATTGAGTCATTATTGTCTCTTAATGCCTTGCCAAAAGTAATTATTGCCATGGGTATCCCCCCACAATACTTCTTAACAATCTCTTGTTTAAAGTTGAACATTTCATTAAGTATTTCAACCGCCTTCTGAAACAATATCAGAGCATCCTTGTCATCTAATTCCTTAATGCAAAACATTGACTTAACATCCATTTTATCAGACAATACTTTTTTATCCCTTGAGGTTAGCAAAATTTTGCAATCCTTATAATCACCAAGAGATTTTTCTTTGTTCATCACTGTGCTCCTAAGATTATTTGGGTCACTCCTCTTACTTAAATCATCGTTATTATCATCATCATCAAGTGGAATCCCTAACTTGTTCAAATCTAATTTGTCCCATAGGTCATCCAATATTATAAGGGTGTTCTCCTTCTCTTTCTTTAACCTCCTCCGTATACAATCAGCTCTCACATTTTCACCAACCGCTTCCAATCTCAATCCTAACACGTGAGCAATTTCTTCCTGGATATTTTGCAAATTGGGATTGGCAGTTATTTCTACTCTAGCCACCACATTAAACATCTTCTTGTTTAGAGCTATTTTAGCAATTTCTTTGACAAAAGTGGACTTACCCACACCACCTGGCCCATGCAGCCCAATCATTCTGACCGTGGAATCTTGAAGTGATGCCAATATGTCATTCATTGTGGATTTTCTAGAACCAAAATCCATGTAGCCAACATTAGACAAAGTGACATCATTAGATGTTACGTTCTCCGTATAGGCAACTTCATGAGGCTTGGGGATCTCTTCTCTTAACTTCTTAACGTCCATTGCCATCTTTGTTGCTCGTCTGCTTAGTCTATACCTATTCCATAAGTGAGGATACCTTGACTTTGTGCCTTCATCTTTCATAAAATTCTCAAATTTAGACACAAATTCATCCACCTCCAGTAACCATTCTTTGACCTTAGCTTCAATATTTTTTAGATTTTTATCAGCTTCATCACGTTGGTGTTCCAGAATTTGCTTTTCACTTATAAGTTTCGCAACACTATGGTTTAGATCATCTACATTTTGCTTGTAATGGAGGATGTAGGCCACCTGCTTAGAACCCGGACGAACCACATATTCAAACACTTTTTCCACTATTGGTGATAGCAAATCCCCCATCCCTTTGAGCTTGATTTTCTTGTCCTGGATACGACTACATCTCTTCTCTTTTTCAACAAAACGTAAAAGTGAAAACAAATTAATCAAAAACTAACTAAGAAAAATAACTTATATTTGATCGATCAAAACTCACAAGTACATTTACTAAAATCAAGTCAAGCAACTATAGATGCTTTGAAAATTATAAAGGAACGTGAAATAAAAAATTAAGTAAAATATTAAGTTTGAACATATATTTTTGTCCATATTAAAGAAATTTTTTTGCTTTTATTGGCTTAGAAGAAATTCATTTGACTTTTTTTTATTTATTTATGAAATTATAGTTTTAATCATTATAGTTGGGACTTTGCCAGTACTGTGTAATTTGCACACCAAACATTGCTAATGCTTCAGGATGCGTCAACAACCATGCCTTTGATTTTCCTTTTGGATTTTTTAATTTTGTTAATGATTCTCCATAGAGAAGACCAACAAAACGTTGGAGTTTTAATTTAACGGATAAAAATGGAAAGGAAAAACGTAACGTGCGATCTCCATAATCTAACCCAGCTTATTTTCAATCATCCACCCAGACCTTTGGCCTCAAATTGAATATGATTTTGAGCTTGCTCCTTTAAAAAATTAAGAATAGCACTCTTTATTAAAAAAATACTAATTAAAATTTTTGGACATCTTTGAGATTTTTTTTCCTAATCAATGCAGAAAAAAAAAACAAAATAAATAAATAAATAAAAACAAGTTGGAGTTACTATTTTTAAAATTTTTTTCTTAAATATACTTTTTAAAATCTAAACAAACAGGTCCCCCTCCCCTATAGAAAAAGAAAAATACATACAAAAGAACTCTTTAATTGACACCAAGTTACCACTGGTTCTCTCTGTTTACCAATTTTGTCTGTACACATCGGTAAAAAAAATTGTTCTATATATCAGTAACTCAAATAGATTTCTAGTGAAAGAGAAATAATTGAAAATCAAACATTTATTTATTTAAAGTATACCTGGAACTTTAATTATTTATATTGTCGGTACATACAGTTTATGTGTATTACACTTAAATAGTTACAATAATATATTACAACAAATTATATATCTAATTGGGGGTAAATTTTTTATTTTTATTATATATAAATGACTTAATTCTGAATATAGTTGATTTATTAGTATAATTGTGTTAGATGCATAAATACTTTACCATCACCATTATTGTAATTTGTTTTACTGATAAAAACATAATTTAATTCAGCTTTTAATCGGCCTGCATTATTTTTAAAAATAAATGGTTTAGTTGTTCTTTTAACTCCACTACTATTATCAAAATTTGGATTTAATCTTCCAACTTCTTTTATAAATTTCATTCTCACTTCTAATATAAAATTTTAATTTATTTATTATTTTAATATTCAATAGTTAATGTAAATACTTACAATATAATGGTTGTGAACTTGTCCATTTAGATTAATTTAAATTTTTAATTTGAATAAGAAAAATTAATTTCACAAAATATAAAATTTATTTATATATATATAGAAAATCTTATTAAATATTATGAAATAAAAATATTTATTTTTAAATATTTAATAATTTAAAATAATTTTCATATTAAATAACATTTAACTAGAAATATGATATAGAAGTAAGAGAAATAGGGAGGAAAGAAAGAGATGTGAAAGAGGGAGGGAAAAACAGAAAAAAGGACATAAAGAAAGAGAGAAATAAATATAAATAAAAAAAGAGAGAGAAAATAATTTAGCAGTTCCCTATCGTGAATTAAATATAAGTGTTTTGTCAAGTCATTTTAATTTGTTCACCTGACTCAATGTATTTTATGACAGAGGAGATTTGACTAAATAAATAAAGAGTCATAAATTAATGAATATGGTGGTAGTGACAACGGATCGGTATCAGAAAAATTTCGATTATGTAAAGTATGTAAATCAAATTAAATTGGTACTAATTAAAGCTATGCGATTTGCGTGTCATTATTAAGGTATTGATTAACTTTATTTTACATTAGTTAGATCGAAATATGTATCTTTATATTTTATTTAATAAAATTTTAAAAAATTAATTAATATTTTGTTTGATTTTCAAGATTTGAGTCTTAATTTTGTAAAAATAATTAATTTTTAATAATTTTTTATTATCTAAAAATTTAAAGATAAAATTATCTAAAATATATATATATATATTAAATCA